AAGTGGATAATACTAGTATGTTTTCCATATTGTTACCTTCATGTTTAAAAGGGGGGTATTAAGGGAGAAGGCCAACCCAATTTCCCACTCTCCCCAAGTCCCGGGTGTAGGGCATGCTCTGAGGTTCTTGCTCGAGTGGTTTTGATGTTGCAACAGTTATGAATCGCTGTCAATCTCGCCACTCCAAGCACTATGAGGTCTTTGAAAAATCCACTGATTGACATAGTCCATCATAGCTGAGATGGTTGGTTGACCTGTTCTGTCTTCTCTCTTTTCTTCGTTAGGGTTCTGAGTCCAGCATTTAGATTAGGAAGATCTCCAAAGAAACTTCTTGTATGTGCTAACAAGTACAGGGCCAGGCACCGTCCATCGCTCCAATCAGCTGGTGGTTGTAATTGCTGGGTTGGTTCTGTTTTCACTCCCGACTTCCACTGGAACCAATGGGTGTTGCAGTCCAGCCTGGTTCTGCCCCGCACATATTTGGCCCTCACCTAAACCAGTGGGAGCTGCAGCCTAGTTGGAGCGACCCACAATAACCCCCACCAGGCCCGCCCCTACCCTGGTTTGCCAGTAAGTGTAGCAGTAATCCAGTCTGCCCCACACCCCATTCCACCCCAGCCACTGTTTAGTTTTATGTCCTGCCGTGGAAGTGGTAACCCAAGAGGGATGAGCCCACTATTTCCCTCCCAGGCCTCTCCCACTCCCAGATTCCAGCTGCCCAAAACAAACCTCGCCCACTTTAATTCTGTTTGCACCAGTAGGAATAATCCACCGAGCCCGGCTTTTCCCTGATCTAGTCCACATGAGGCGCACAGGTGTGGTAGCTCTGCCTAGTCTGGTCTGCCCCCATCCCAGCCCATGCTCTCCAGCGGGAGTAGCTGTCCAGCAAAGGAACCCTCCCTTATTCCCCTGCTGGCTCTGCCTACTTCCTTTCTTGTTCTCAGGCTGGTTGGGCGCTGTGGTCCCTTCCGGTACAGGCAACCTCACCTTGGCATTCCATATTGTGCACTAGTCTTCTTTGCGACCAACCCTTGGTTGACCCACACTGGTGCCTGGATTTGCCAGTGGATGACGTGGACAGATTCAGCCTGGTCTTGCCCCTACGTCTGCCAAGTGTATGCCAGTGGGTAGCTTTCCATGGCCTGTTCTGGGCTGTTTCCTATCATGTTTCTTGGGCTTACCTGCCAGGTCTGTGTCCTGCCAGAGGAGTTGCCCAGGCTCCTCCATCAGAACCTCTCCCAATGCCAGGTTACACGCTTACCAGTGGGTCCATGAGCCAATCCTACTCAGTCCACCTCCTGTCATAGCAGGAACTGTGGCTTTTCCTGACTGGCCTTCCACCCAATCTGGTTCTTGCTGTTGGATGTTCCAGCCCAGCCATGGCTTGTCCATACCTACGTTTGGCTCACACATGGCTCAGTAGGGGTTTGAGACCTTGCCTAGTCTATCACACATCTGCCCTGGTCCTCCAGAACACCAGGGGGAGTCGGGGTCCAGCCCGGTTCGGTGCATCCAATCCCAGTCCACACTTGTGCCAAGGGAGGCTACAACTGTATCCAGATCGGAACGCAGCCCCCCTTCCAGGCCACGTGCCTCTTTGTGGGAACCTCAACCCAGCTAGGGTTGTCCCCTTTGCTCCCCAACCGGGTCTGTTCCCAGCGATAAATCACTCGCATGCCAGTGGTTGCTCTGACTCAGCTTGGCACAGTTCCTCCCCTGTCCCGACCTCTGCCTTAGACACTGTGGCTTTGTGTCCCTGGCTCCTGCAGACCAGTAGGTACAAGAGCCTAGCTTGGCATGACCTTTGCTCCCTCCTGGTTTCTAGTTTTGCTTGTGGGCTAAGGTTTGCTCCTTCGTACCAGATCTACTCTGTTCCCCACCAGTTGACACATTAGCCAGCCGTTGGAGCTACTTTTGCAGGACAAGCCCCAAGCCCAGGCTTCTGCATGGACTGGTATTTGGTGCCCAGTATTATTAGTGATTGCAACTTTTACAAAGAAAGAGTTACTGCCTGTTTAAGGTCCGAGAATCACAATGTGTTCAACCTGGAGCTAATTAAGCAGCGACTGAAAGAACAAAATCCCCAGAGCTCCCAGCCGGGCGGCCAGTAGGCGGAGCCTGGCGCCAATGGCGCACTGGCCGCCCAGACACGGCTCACCATGTGCCCATGGCGGCCGTCCGGAATCCAGGCATGAGACGCCCCGTCCTGAGACCCACCAGCTGCCAGGAGGCAGCTGGAGGTTTAAATTCCCAGGCCTAAGGTCGCGCCCCTCCCAAATCCCCTTCACCGCCCAATGAGGGCGGTGGCTGGGTGCCGGACCTGCCCGGTCCCAGAGGCCTCCCCCCTCGGTCTACTCACCCCAAAGGAAGCAGCCTCTGGAACCCAGCAGGCCCGGACACGGCTCACCATGTGCCCATGGCGGCCGTCCGGAATCCAGGCATGAGACGCCCCGTCCTGAGACCCACCCCACACTATTTTTCTAAGAACAAGATTGATATATTCATTTGAAAGACAGAGTTACGGAGGAAGAGAGACAGCTCTTCCATCTGCTGGTTTACTCCCTGCATGGCTGCAGTGGCCAGGGCTGAGCTAGGCCTAATCTGGGAGCCAGCCAGTACAGACCCCTGATTGAGTAGATTTTGGTCTTGAGCTACAGTCTTAGCTACTTGTTTCATTAATCCAGCTGGTGGGACAGCGCATAAAAAATTATGTTGTTTTTAGATCTGGTGCCATGTAGTAGTAGGTTAAACCTCCACCTGCAGTTCCAGCATCCCATGTGGGTACTGGTTTGAGTCCTGACTCCTGCATTTCCAATCCGGCTCCATGTAATATGCCTGGAAAAGCAGCCCTTGGGGACCTGGAAGAAGCCCCGGACTCTTTAATTTGCACCAGCCCAACTATGGTCATTGTTGCTACTTGGGGAGTGAACCAGTGAGTGGAAGATATCTCTGTCTCTTCCCCCCTCTCTGTGTCTCTGCCTTTCAAATAAATGAGTATTTTAAAAAATTTATTCAACAGTTACTAAACAAAGTATTAGCTGTTGGACTTGATTCCATTGAATGGTAGACAAGACCAGCAGTTTCAGTGCAGCACAGTTTATTTTTTAAAAGATTTGTTTATTTTTTATTGGAAAGGTATGCAGAGAGGAGGATCTTCCATCTGCTAATTCACTCCCCAAGTGGCAGCAGCAGTCAGAGCTGCGTTGGTTGGAAGCCAAAAGCCAGGAGCTTCTTCCCACGAGTGCAGCATAGTTTTATTGGGAAATAGTAAGTTAAATAAGAATGGGGTTAGGATAAGTGAGTTCACTGTTGGAAAAATAGGGAATACCACAGGAGCAAATCAGGACTGCCTAGCTTGTGTAGATTGCTCAGGGAGGATGGGAGGAATCTGTGTGCCTGAGGTGTGGAATTAACAGTCTGAAGGATTTTAAGCACGAAGAGGCAGTATCAATCCTTCCTGGGTAACTTGAAGTGAGAAGAGGGGTTGGCCTGTCAAAAATCTGAAGTATCTTAGTAGTCCTACATTGTTTCAGCTTCTGGAAGATAGCTGGTAATGACTTCAGGCAGTTGGGTCCCAGTCACCCACATGGAAGACCCAGATTGAGCTTCTGGCTTCAGCCTGGTCCCGCTCTAGCTTGTTCGATCACTTAAGGAATAAATCAATGTGTGGGTGCTCATTTACTTTTTATTTCTTGACCTCAAATAAAAAAGTTTTAACTGCAGATAGATACATGAATGTAAGTTATGTTCCTGGAGTAGACTGCATGAATTTAACCAAGGATTGGTTATAAGATTTCATGCCATACAGTAATTTACTCTACAGATAATTGCTTATAGTGTGTTCTATTTGTATATATATATAGACTCCATTATGTACTGACAAGTAGTTAGGTATGTAAAAGCCTGTGAAGCCATAACTGCAAAAGTACAACCTCTATGAGTGCTGGTTTAAGTGCTAGTTCTTTCACTTTTGAACTAGCTCCCTGCTAATGTGTCAGGAAAAGCAATGGAACATAGCCCACGTCCTTGGGCCCTTGTAGCCCTGTGAGAGACTTGGAGGAATCCCAGGCTTCTGACTTCAGCTTGGGCAACCCTGCCCAGTGTGGCCTTTGGGGGAGTGAATTAGTTGGGAAATCCCTTCGTCTCTGTCTTAATCTTACCAAATGTAAATCTGCGCTCATTTGACCGGATGAATACTCCAGTTGCTACAGTGGCTTGCAGTTGGACCTTTGCATTCATATCCTGCTGATTACTATCTGGCTGTTTCATTGCTGGCAAATAATCTTTTTGGTGTTTGCTCCCCTGCCAAGTGGGAATAATATTTGTATTATACTATATTTATTTGTGTTATATTATACTATATTTAAAATCCTTAGGATAGTGTATTGTACCTTGGAAAGCTTATAAATGTCATCACTATTAGGAAAAGGAATCTTGGTTCAGTGTCTAGTCAAAAGTACCGCAGGCTGTGTCCCAGAGAGGTAATGATAAAAACTGGAATTTCTAGACTCATTTGATGGGGCCACTGCTATGGTGTAGTAGGATAAACTCCTGCCTTTGGCACTGGCATCCCACATGGGTGTTGGTTTGAGTCCCAGCTGCTCCACTTCTGATCCAACTCCCTGTTTACAGCCTGGGAAAGCAGCAGAGGTTGGCTAATGTCCTTTGTCCCCTGGACCCATGTGAGAGATCTGGAAGGAGCTCCTGACACTCCTGGCTTCAGGTTGGTTCAGCTCTGGCTGAAGCAGCTGCTGAGTAACCAACCAGTGGATGGAAGAAAACTTTTGATGCTGGGGTGAACACCTCCTTATCTTGCATTCTCTTTTTTTCTCTTACATGATTGATCTTCAGAAAGAGTAGTCATTCTGGTGAGTTTAACAGCTGTGACTTGATACGCTGGGAAGAATCAAAGAGACTGATTTGTTCTAGATCTCATACAGTTTTAATTCAGTTACTGAGAAAGTTTTTAAGTTCATTTAAATTTTTTTCTTATTTTTCAGCCAAGCCAAACAGGAAGCTTACTTTTCTCTACCTAGCCAATGATGTCATTCAGAACAGCAAACGGAAGGGGCCGGAGTTTACCAAAGATTTTGCACCAGTTATAGTGGAGGCTTTTAAGCATGTTTCAAGGTACAGTAATTGTTCTGAGTAACCTGTTTTAAATGCATAATACACTTTTTTGATAAAGTTTGTCTAAAAACATTGAAATAAAAAATGAGGAATATGTTTCTTTAAAGCTTCTGTTTAGTTAAAAAATAAATAAGTAAGAAAACTTCCCTTAAGAGGCATTTGTAAATGTGTCAAATGTTGTCCATGAGGGAAAAGATTTTTGAATGGTTAGTAATATAGTTGCTTGGGGTATTTAAATTACAGCTTTTCTTTATGAAATGAAAACAACCATCCTCAGTTTGAAGAAGGAAAGAAAAGAAAAAAAAACCCAGTATATTAACAATGAATGAAGGTATTAAAATTTGTGTACCTAGGAAGCTATCGGTTTTGCACCTTGTTTTCTATATACAGAATATTGTGTTCCCTTTCCCTCATGTTGCTTAGAATGATTTAAAAATGTGTACGATATTTATAATTTATAATAAAATGAACATAAATATAATATTCATATTTTATACTATTGAAATTTGTGCTACTTTAAAAATGTAATGAGATTTAAAAAGGCTTTAGGAGTAGAGAATGTATAAAGTTGTCAAAAAATTTTACTAGTAATCCTGAGGATAGGTGTCTGCTTTAGCTGAAACCTTTTAAATTCTTTTATTTCCAAAGATTTGCAAATATATGGTTAATTCTGTGAGAACATTATTGAAATAACATATTAAATCAGTCTAGAATTCAGTGTTGAATGGTAGTGACTTGAACAACAGAAAGGTGAAAATCAGCTCGCCACATTGCCTGCAAGTTTAGTCACATATTTAAAGAAATTAGTGAATTTAAAGAAATTACTGCATTTAAAATATTGCTGTTTATTACTTTCTTGATTTTTATTTACTCTTCATTTTAGGTATTCTATTCTCTTTTCAATTTTTTTTTTTTAAGATTTATTTATTTTTATTACAAAGTCAGATATACAGAGAGGAGGAGAGATAGAGAGGAAGATCTTCCATCTGATGACTCACTCCCCAAGTGGCCGCAACAGCCAGTGCTGTGCTGATCCAAAGCCAGGAGCCAGGAACCTCTTTCAGAGTCTCCCACATGGGAGCAGGGTCCCAAAGCTTTGGGCCATCCTCTACTGCTTTCCCAGGCCACAAGCAGTGAGCTGATTGGGAAGTGGAGCTGCCAGGATTAAAACCAGCAGCCCATGTGGAATCCTGGCGCTTTCAAGGAGAGGATCTTAACCATTATGCTATCACGCCAGGCCCAGATGTTGGTGTTTTTCAAAGTTCAGTCCTAGGCCTTCCTCTGGGGCCCTGCTCTTCGCTTGCCCTGTGGGTGATTCCATGTACTGCAAGTGTTAGTTGCTATACATATCCTGATAATTTAGCAGCCTTAGTCTCCAGCCCAGACTGTTAGCATTATTACAGACCTGCATGTGTATGCATTTTTTAAAGTTTATTTTTGTTAGAAAGTCCATCTATTCACTCCCTAAGTGGCAGCAATGGTTAGAGCTGCAATGATCTGAAGCCAGGAACCTGAGCCTCTTCTGGGGTCTCCCACATGGATACAGGATGCAGGGTCCCATGGCTTTGGCCCATCCTCGACTGCTTTCCCAGGCCACAAGCAGGGAGCTGTTTGGAAAGTGGAGCTGTCAGGATTAGAACTGGCACCCATATGGAATCCTGGTACACGCAAGGTGATGAAGACTTTAGCCACTAGGCTATGGTGCCTCGTTGCATTCTATGCGTCTTAAATATCTTTAACTCACTATGTCTGGTACTGATTTGATGATATCCTTGTTTCCTGCTAAAACTCCCTGGAAAAACAGCTGTGGCCAGGAAAAGCAGTTGAGGATGACCCAAAGCCTTGGGACCCTGTACCTGTGTGGGAGATCTGGAAGAGGCTCCTGGTTCCTGGCTTTGGGTCGGTACAGCTGAATTGAAAATGGGGCTGCCAAGATTAGAAATGGTGCCCATATGAGATCCTGGCATGTTAAAGGTGAGGACTTTAGCTGCTGGTCTATTGCGCCAGGCCCTAAGGTATTCTTTTGTGAAACTCCCTACCTCACTGCTGATTCATATTCACACAGTTTACAGTCTGTTTTTTTCTTTTTAAAATTTCTTTTTATTGGAAAGGTAGATTTATAGACAGAAGGAGAGACAGAACGATATGCCATCCACTCACTGATTCACTCCCCAAATGGCCACAACAGCTGGAGCTGAGCTAATTTGAAACCAGAAGCCAGGAACTGCTTCTGAGTTTCCTATGTGGGTGCAGGATCTCGTGGCTTTGGGCCGTCCTCCACTGCCTTCCCAGACCATTAGCAGAGAGTTGGATGGAAGTGGAGCAGCCAGGATACAAACTTTTGCTCATATGGGATCCTGGCGCATGCAAGGCGATGATTTAGCCACTAGAGGAGGCCCAGTCTGCAGTCTTATTTCACGCTGACTGCACCTGTTATAGTTCTTTGCACCTGATGAGTTGTGTATGAATGTTGTCTCTCCCTCAGATTTAATAGAACATTTACTGATTGTCTCCTGTGTGCTAGCCCTAAGGTACAGTATTGAGTAAAACAAGGTTTGTTTTGTGGAGGGACAGATTTCAGTGAATGACACAGATGGTAACTAGTGAACGAATACATATTGCACTGACGACTGATGTTGTGAAGAAATGTAAAGCATGCAAGGAGCTAAAAGGAAGGCTCAGTTATATGATGAGGTAAAGAAAAATTTTGGAGGAGGTGTCTTTTGAATAGAGACTCAAGTAAGGGATGAAATGAACCATTTAACTTTTTCTAGAAGGGGAGCACGCTAGGAAAATAGGACAGATACAGTGAGACAGCTGTGCTAGGCATTGTTTTGAATGAGCAAGATTTATTTGGGAGAGGTGTGAGGAAATGTGGATGGAGGTTTCCAGGAAGCAGAGCATGTCCTTTAGGTTCTAGGATAGGGAGTTTGATTTTCATTCTTGTTATGATTGGTGGTTCTCCAAAGATGAAGAATGGTATGGTGATGTATGTTCATAGGATGCTTCCACAACACCGGAGTGAGAGAGCAGAACTGAGGAGCAGTGACAATAAACATCCGTTACTAATAAACATCCAGACTAGTGCTGAATGGTTGCTTCCTCTGTCCTGGTAGCGACGAACAAGGGATGAAATGGTTGCGAAGTAGTCTGTTTCCAGTTTTCATAGATTTAGTGTTGTGATCTCAGTTTAGAATCTTTAGGGATTCTTCCTCATCTTCCTTAAAATGGTCCAGGCCTCTCTCAGGCCTGCCTTTTTGCTCCTTGTTCTATTCTGTGTCACTTAACAACAGTTTTCCATGTCAGAAATCTTCTTTGATCAGTAAATACTTGCTGAGTTAGTGAAAAAGACACCCCTCCCTTTCCCTGTCATCTTTCTCAGCTTGTTTAGCCACATTAGATTAGAACATCTTGGTAATCTTGGATGGCCAGTAGTAAGACTTCTACTATGTGTAATTTTTTCTTTCATATCTGTATAAATGTTTTAAAGGGGGCAGGGAATACATTGGTCACTGAGCTACATGGAATTGCTCTAAACTGCTAGCCATACAGGTGTGGTCAGTAAGCAGTGGGACAGTTTTTCCCCAGGGAAATGAATATCCTACTAATTGGGTTTACAATCAATGTTGCCAATTGGATAGCGTCATGCATTTTTACTGCTTATATTTGTGCTTTTACATTTTTTTCTCTAGTGAAACTGACGAAAGTTGTAAGAAACACCTTGGAAGAGTGCTGTCTATATGGGAGGAGAGGTCTGTTTATGAAAACGACGTATTAGAGCAGCTTAAGCAAGCTTTGTGTAAGTATATAATCATCATTGCTATCAGGATTTTGTTAAATATATTCTTTCAGTAAAACTTATACTTTCTTTCTACTTAGATGGTGATAAGAAGCCTAGGAAGCGAACTTATGAACAGATAAAGGCGGATGAAAATGAAAACTGTTCATCTCTTGGGTCACCGAGTGAACCACCCCAGGTAGGACACTCTCTCTCTCTCTCTTTCTCTTAAAATATTTATTTATTCATTTATTTTATTGGAAAGTCAGAATTAAGAGAGAAGGAGAGATGGAGAGGAAGATCTTCCATTTGCTGATTGACTGCTCAAGTGGCCACAGTGGCCGTAGCTAAGTCATTGTGAAGCCAGGAGCCAGGAGCCAAGAGCTTCTTTCCAGGTCTCCCCTGCGGGTGCAGGGTCCCAAATCTTTGGGTTGTCCTTGACTGCTTTTCCAGGCCACAAGCAGGGAGCTTGGGTGGAAAGTGGAGCAGCTGGGACCCGACCAGCCCATATGGGATCCTGGCACATGCAAGGCAAGGATTTTAGCCACTAGGCTACAATGCTGGGCCCCAAGTAATTGTTTTTACATAAACTGCCTCTATTGCTGGTATATTAGCTCCTCAGAGTCAAGTTTGTATTTTGAACATCTAACTTTAGATTCTTTTTCTTGATATATAAAAGAAATGACTTGTTCTCAAAAGAGATTTATATTGGAAACTTTAAACTCTAAACTAGTCTGTGAAGATGAAGGAAGGTGAGATAACTTTTAACTCTTGTATTTGCTTGAGCCTCATTTATTTTAATTCTAAAGTTTGATTACTTTTTAGACTCTAGATCTCGTTAGAGCATTGCAAGATCTAGAAAATGCCGCTTCGGGTGATGCAGCGGTTCATCAGAGGATAGCTTCTTTGCCCGTGGAAGTGCAAGAAGTATCCCTGCTAGATAAAATAACAGGTAATGAGAGATGGTCTGGGATTTTTGGGGGGAGTTGGGGCTAAGGTATATAAAATGCCATTGTTTTTATTATGTAGTAATTTTATTATCCTGTGCTTTTCTTAGATAAAGAATCTGGAGAAAGGCTTTCTAAAATGGTAGAGGATGCTTGTATGTTGCTGGCAGATTACAATGGCAGATTGGCGGCAGAAATAGATGATAGGAAGCAACTCACTCGAATGTTAGCTGATTTTCTTCGTTGTCAAAAGGAAGCCCTTGCAGAGAAAGAGCAAAAATTGGAAGTGCGTAATCTTTTCCTTCTTTAGTGTTTACTGATTTAATGTATTCTTTGGAAGGAATTTTGAAGTCCCTAATGTAACTTTACATCTTGTGTTTTTTGGAAGATGGATGTGCTTAGGCAGTGATCCAGGTAAGTGTCTTGTTACATTAATGGTTTCCTTTCGTCTTGAACTAAATCAACCTGCCTAAGTAAATTTTAGAAATCTGGAACTAGCAGAATTTGTGCATCTTATAATTATTGATGTGAGATCCCATGCAGTAGTAATTTATCTTCTCTCTTTTAAACCTTCGTCTTCAAGCACAGAAACAGTAGGAAAGATGACAGCTAGGATAAAGTCTTGGGTTAACTGCACTGTATTGTAGCTGGATTTGTTTAATTTCTGTTCTGAGAACGTGCAGTCTTTTAGATATGCCACTAAATCTTCAAATTACCCCTCTGTTCACTCCTTTATGAATATTTCCAGCTCACACAAGCACGCTCATGTAGAAAGTCATGACTCCTTTAAACCAAGTAATAACTGATAATTTTGACGAGAAATCTGGGGGTTCAGATAATAATAAACATTAGCTTATGTTTCCTTGAGCAGAGTAGCCATGGTTTGAATAGATGAGCCAGATTTGTTTTTAAATAAAAGAATATTTATTTTGACTGGCTCTTCGTTAAATTTTTTTTTCTATAGCAATTACTTTCTATAAGTGTGTAGAATTTCTGCTTGTCTAGATCCTTCAATTTACACATGGTTCACTGTAGGTTTGTATGTATTTCATAGTTCTGACTCTTTTTAAGTTGCTTGTATTGAGTAGTTTTTAGTTCTTGGCTCAGCAAGATCTAATTGTGCCAAAAATGGTGCTACAGGATTGCCATTGCTACTTGTGAAAGCAGCAATTACTCCCACTCCAAATTCTCTCAATTCTTAATATAGCGGTATGTTTTTTCAGTCTGCCCTCCTTTACTCACATAAACAATTAAAGGATAGTTTTTCCCACATTTGAATATGTTACCCACTACTACATGGGAAGGATGACATGAATTAAAAAAAAAAAGATTGATAATTGACTTACTACTATTTTTGATCTTATAATGGAGCATAAATCTAATTATTGCTTGTTTTTATTATCTGCAGATCTAAGAGTAAGTAACGTTATAGAACTTTTGTCTTTAGTCTTTTGGTATGGTTTCTTTAACTTCTATCCAGCTTCTGTTGCAGATATTGGACATGGGCGTGTCTTCTATTGATGTCATCAGCATTAGCATATTCTTCCTGCTAAAAATAAATATCAAACTCCAAATCCTGTATTGTCTCCTGTTTTTGAAAATTGAAGAAAAAATTGAAACTATTATTTTACCTCGTTTGGCTCACTTAAGATTTTCATTATTAGCACCAATTATAAAAATAGAATTTGTTTGAAATTTATGTGTACAAAATAGATCAGACACCACCCCAAACAATTCTTATTTTCCCAGTGCTTTCCAGTCAGATTCATAGATGGTGAGGCTAACAGTGGTAACGGCAACGTTTACCACAAGTCAGGTACTCTTCTAAGCACTTCATGTGTCAGATCAGTTCTATACAACATATCATATGTGTTCTGTTGCTAAGACATCATGACACAGGAAGATTTAATAACTGGCCCGAGAGCACAAAAAGCTAGTGAGTTCTTTGGAACCCAGGGAATTTGCTTCCAAAGTGACACACTTAACTAAAAAGACTTCTATTTGCTTTGCATTTTTGTTCAAAGAAGTGTAAGATTTCAGCAAAGGCTAACGCTCTGTCTCTACTCTATGCTTCTTGCCTCCTCAAAGGTAATCAGTCTTATAATAAAAGGCTGTAGTAACTTCTGTTGTTGAAAGTGATTAGATTTTATATAATATTAAAAAACCAGTGAACATTTTTTTACAAGTAAAATATTTGGATATTGCACAAGCTTGGAAATTACTCCACAAAAGTCTTTGTACCATTATCACTTAGAACAAAATGATTTGTTTGTTGTAAGATGTGAAAATGAGTTAGACATTTTTTTCTACTAAGAAGATCATGTCACTTTGAAGTTCAGACTGAAATGTGAATATTTGTATATCAGCTAGGCTAACTTGAAGTAGTTTTCGTTCATTCATCGGTTTTTGAATGCCACCTGTTGTTTACAGGTATTTATGTGTCGTTAGTTGCTCTCTTTTTTTGTTCGTAATAGGCATAAATTTAAAATGTCAGTTTAGGAAATTTTTTGTAAGTCAGAACAGAGAGAGGGAAAGACAGATTGAGAGGGGTCTTCCATCCTTTGGTTCACACCCCAGATGGCCATAGCTGGTGCAGGCCTGTACTTAAGCTAGGACCTTCATTGGGTCTCCCATGTGGGTTTGGGGGCCCAGATGCTTGGGCCATCCTCTGCTGCTTTTTCCAAGCCATTAGTGGAAAGCTAAACTGGAAGTGAAAACTCTGGGACACAAAATTGGTGTCAGCATTGTATGCAAGTGCTTTACCTGTTACACCACAATTCAGGCCAGTTTGTTTATATATGTATATATATATATATAAAAGTCAGATATACAGAGAGGACAGACAGGATGATATTCTATCTGCTGCTTTACTCCCCAAGTGGCCACAGCAGCCAGAGATGCGCCGATCAGAAGCCAAGAGCCTCTTCCAGGTCTCCCACATGGGTGCAGGTTCCCATGGTTTTGGGCTGTCCTTGATTCCCTTCCCAGGCCACATGCAGGAGCTGGATGGGAAGCAGGACTGCTGAAGTACGAACTGGAGCCCATATGGGATACCAGTACGTGCAAGGCAAGGACCTTTGGCTGCTAGGCTACCATACTGGGCCCTTTTAAAAGTTTCTTATGGAGGCTAATGTTTGCTCAGTTATCTCTTAAAAGTACTTACTAAGGCTTTTTAATTCTTCTACATTTTCCCTTAGCCTTTGACCACTTTTCTGTTTGGTCCTGATTTTATTACTTAGTTTTTCTGTGATTTTCTGTAATTAGTTTTTCTGTAATGAATTCTGAGCTCTCCTGGTGTACTTAACACAGCCTTAATTCACAGCTATAAAATGTTGCATATTTTTGTAGGTTTATTTTTCTTGTTAATTTTATTTATGCATTGGAGTTTTACATTTAGAAATGATACAGGGATCTAGTTGAATGTGAAAGTAAAATGTTCTTGCAGGTGGTACTTAATCCTTGTTTACATGCTGGAGTGTACTCCCTTTTCTGTTTTACTGGCGCATTAGTCTCCATGCCTTTGTACAGATTTAAATTTTTATTACTTTTTAAAAATTCATGCTTAAAGTTTTAATTAGAATGATTATAAATTTTTAAATTTAATTTATTTTGCCATTATGCTTCATCTTCTAAACCTGTAATTTTTATTTAGTTGAAAGAATTCTTGCCCATTGTTTCACTCTCTAGAAGCCATAAGGGACCTCGGTCAGGGCTGCAGCCAAGAGCTGGGAACTCGGTCGAGGCTTCCACATGGGTGACAGGGACCCAGTGACATGAGCTGTTACTGTCGTCTCTCAGGGTCGGCCTTAGCATGAAGTTAGCATTGGGAGCAGGGCTGGAGACTGAACATTGGCTCCCAGCATGGCATAGAGGTCTTCACTGGCATTTTAACATTTTGTTTCATTTTAGTGTTTATTTTTATTGGACAGACAGATTTACAGAGAGACAAAAATGTCTTCTATCCACTGATTCACTCCTCAAGAGACTGCAATGGCCATTTCTAAGTTGATCTGAAGCCAGGAGCCAAGAGCTTGGAGGTTTTCCATGTCTCACATTGGGGTGCAGAGTTCCAAGGATTTGGGCCATCCTCCACTGGTTTACCGGGCCGTAAGCAGGGAGTTGGATGGGAAGTGGAACAGCTGGTACATGAACCAATGCTCATATGCAATGCTGGCAGTTGTAGGCAAAGAATTAGCCAATTGAACCACAGCAAGGCCTTCATTTTCATATTTTAACTGCTAAGCCAAATTTGTCTCACGCTTTTTATTTTAAATGAGGTATTTTAAAATTTTTGATTTACCCAGTTACAGGTGTTATTCAAGGACATAATGGTAAGAATGTGGAGAATTTATTTTTCAGTCTTTAATCTGAAAACCATTGTTTCCTAGTCCATTGAAATAATTTATTTGATTTAAATTTAGGAGTAATTGATAAGACAGTGTCATAAATTTTTAAAAAAAACCACAAATGTTACTAGTTTTTTAATGTTTTTGTATAGGTTGAACTTTTTAAATCTTGACCACCTCAACATTTTAAGCTTTGTGAGTGTAAGGCTGTCAAAAGTTTCAGATATTGGATTTTCAGAACTCAACCAACAAAGTGTATGCATGTATTCCAAAATCAGCAAAATTGCAAAATTGGAATAGTTAGTGATCTTAGTATTTGGGATAAGGGGTATTCAATCTCTGTTCGTTTTTTGAGATTGGCCATTGTCCAGAGTTTTTGTGAATTTATCCATTTTTTTCAGGACTCGCATACTTGTAAATAGAACCCTGTTTTGTCTTGTTTCTAGTAAAGTTTGGGCCTGTCATGGAAGGTACTTTTGTGACAGATGCGCTTCTTATGGTGTCATGATTTTCGTTATAATTCACTTAATTTTTTTCTATGATTCACTGTTTCTTTGATGTCGCAGAAAATAGTGAATAAATATTTAGTTACTAATGTGGTTATATGTGAAGATGAGTGCTGATTCATATTAAAGGTTTGATACTGGTTAACAATCTGACATTTAATGATCTTCAGTGGTTGCCAAATAATATAGTGTAGGTATCTGTAGTATCTGTCTGAACCATTCTTTTTTTTTTTTTTCTTGAGAAACACACTTGAAATTTACCTGATAGGACAATAGGCAGGCATCTTGTTTCAAAATATTGCTCTACCTTTGTGATTTGGATTCCTCCATGCAAATCATCTGTTGTTCAACTTCTTATCTCCTATCTTTTGACTTTATGAGATAATGCTTTAAATAGGTTGGTATAGGAATTTTCCAGTTGATCCTTCTTATTA